ACCTCCGAGCTTGGGGCACCCCATGAACGCTGCTCATCCCATGACCAATTCTCAGCCCGTCCTCGGTCTCGCCATCCCTGCCTCCATGATGCCCAGGACGTCGATGTCCATGAGGAGTCATCACCAGGTTGATACCAACCATCGCTGCCACCCAACCCACTCACATCCAGTGGATTCCCCCATTCCGAATCACCTTCAGATGCATTGGGCTCAACTTGGACCTCAAAAACCTCGTAGTACGAGGTCATCCAAAACCCCCAGCCGTAGGGCTCGAGCACGACCACCCCAAACCACCGTAGCCAGCTCCCCCGCGCCGCCGCCCACAGCGCCTATGGCCCCGGATCGAAACCTGCTCCGCTGCCACTTAAACGTGGCAGCGACCGAACCTTTTCTACCGCTCGAGCCCTGCAGCTCCGATCGAGGGACCGTCGGCGGGGCCGGTTCCGTTTCACAATAATTGTTTTAATATGTTTTAATATTGTATATACATGCCGTACGTGGAGAAAGCGTTCCTGGATGTTCTTGTGCACAGTAATTTGGCAAACTTCATGATCCTATCCACTCTCGACTCTCTACTATCTATGATCAGTTCTGTTCCTGTGCCAAGCTTCATGGTTGATCCGCTGCGGGACCTCCCAGACATCCCCAGGCCTCGCCTTGGACGGCCCCATCAGGCGCTCGCAACAAATCAGGAACTCCGGCGCCGTCAGCGCGCCGTCACCATCACCTGAGGGTGTGGAGTCATCAAACGTCAAGCTCAGCCGGTGACCGGTCTGAAACCCTGATCTGCTCACCGGTCTGGAAAGTGAAGAGGTTCCCTAAATTGAGCAATCGAGCCCAAAACACTCATTAACCTTATAAATTCTGCTCAAAGATTAGATCAAATCAGATCGTCCTGTTTGGCTCAGTGGGGTGGGCCTCTTCATATCGTCCTTTGCAGCCGTTTCCCCTGACGGTCAGCTGTTGAAGATCCGAAGAAGTGCACCACGAAGGTCTAGATGCACGGTAGGCTGCCAGCTTGTGTAGGTGTGCACAGTCTGGTCCACCAACCCCACGGGTTGGGCGAGTCCCCGAAAAGGGCCGAGCAGCCTGCGCTTCATGGGAAATGGCCCACGGTTCGGAGGAGGTTCTTCCTGTTCTGAGGGTCCAAACATCAGTGACCCCCAAACTCCTCTGGTAAAGGGACATGACTACCTGTGGAACCCTGGTTCTTTCGGCCCATCATGAGCAATGGTGCATCTTTCCTCGCCGGTTGCATCCGATATCAATGCCTTTGAAGAAAACCAATGCTCCACGCCGTGATTCGTCTTTGAACGTGTCCCAGGTGCGATCAATCATGGCAAAGACCTGCTTTGGGTCCTGGTCACGATCATGGATTCGCAGTCGGGGCGGGCCGTTGAGATGTTCATGGCGACCAGCCTTGTTCTCGAACGTGTTTGGAGGCGGAGCTCGCAGTTTAAGAGTGAAGCCGTGACTTCCCAAAACACATATGAAATGCGCCCGGATGCTGTGTAATTACATAGCCCCTTACACGAAGCAAGTGGGAACCAACACGCCATGCATGGCATTCATGGGTCTAAAGGACACACCCGAAAAATGCTTTCGGAGCCACTGCCCAGTCTGCCCAGTGATGAAGTTTCAGCATCACGCATGGGTCACTGTTCATGCGAACAGTCGCGAAGCGTCACGCAAGGGCCGCAAGGGTCTTCTGATGTCGATCTACCTGATTTTGAGGGCTAAATGTCCGTCCTCTGTGTGGGCATTGATGAGATCCAAAAACTTTGTCATACCTGAGCTGCAGCGGCTGGACACTTCTGGGCCAAACGACACGAAGTGACCCCATTCAGGGACTATAGCTGTCCCACACCTTTTTACTGAACGTTTCCAGTTCCCAAACACACTTTGGTAACCTTTGTTTCACTTTCTTGTTGAGCAACATCACGCATCACAAATATGATAAAATGAAGACAGTGAGGAAATTCTAGAGTTCGACTATGTTCCACTTACAAACTGCCATGAATCCTATGTTGGTACGTTACTGGACTCGGACTTACTGACTGGGCAGGATCTGCTCGACGAAACAGGGTGTTGCAACACGCCACGCCTTTCGTCCCCAATTCACCACGACACATCCGCTACACCACTACTAAGGCTTCAGGCAAAACAGAACGAGCTCAGCTCAACAAGCCACGGGGTAGCCACGGTGAACGAATTCCCTCACTGAGGGGAACAACACATAACAAAACCATGTCATGTCTTGGGTAAATCCTATTCACTGCAAGACTGGATGGTGATTGAATATTCCAGGACGTTTCCAAAACACACAGAGCATCGGCAAACCGCCCCATGGTCCGACTGAGCCCGTTAACAGATGTTAACAGCTGATCCTCCCGCGCGACCGCAAGATACCGCAACGGCAAAGACCAAGGTGCTAGGCTCCCCGTAGCTTCCAATGAACTGCTCCTTGGTGACGATCTTCTTTTGTGTTCGAGCCTCAAGGCGGGACGGTTCTGGGGACCTTTTTTGGGGGAGGTGCTTGAGAAAAGGGTTGTCTTTTTGCTTGTGGTTCCTGCTAGGCAGTTTCACGATGTCCAACGTCAATTTGAAGGGGGGCTACTTTTCTATCTTTTTAATCCATTTTGGGATGCCTATGAAATGAGGAAACGTCCCAACACTTATGGGTGCTCATGTTGCAAAAGCTTGCTTAATTCACACTCATTTTAGCATCTGTGTTGCCAAGGAGCCTGCTCTCACTTTCTCCATCAAAAGTTGGCCCAAACTCAAGTCCCAGCAAGGGTCTGCAAAAACATCAAAGGCTGCATCGCTGCATTGCATGAACAACAAAACTCTAAGCACCAACTGGCAGCATTCGGCAGCCAGGGAAGCTTTCAGGGAAGATCCTCACCCGCAGCTACTTCGGGTTCACCGAGTCAGGGACACAGTCTGCCATCCTGCCTGGCCCTCTACATCAAATTCTGCAGCTGTTGTATCAACTCAGGAATGCCCAAACAACACTGACAGCACTGAACGACCTGAACGAGAACACTGACAAAGGAATTGCTCTTCTACATTTCCATTTCCCTCAATCCCCACATCTCAGTTGGGGAGTCGGAGTGCATGGAACACTGACTGATCCACATGATTGCTCGAAACCACACCAACTGCTCTGAGGCACATCGTAGTTGGCATCAGCATCTAAGAGGCCCCACAAGGATTCCAGGCATTCCTGCACATTCCAAGCTGTGTCCCAGAATGTGACACACACACAAAGCTCGTTCTCCCTAGAAGTCCAAATGACTGTCATGAGTCATTGGAAGTTCTGGAGTTTTGCATTTTTGAACTCTGACTGGCTGTGACAAAGCCGTTCGTCCATGGGTCTGGCCTGGTCGGGCCGTTCATCGTGGACTGTGGACACCAATAGCAAACCACCACGTCTATATATTCCGGTTCAGGAAAGGAAGGAAGTTGCAGGGACAAAAGCAAGTCACTTATAGCAAATGAAATGATTGAAGGTGCAACTCAAGTTGCTTCTTTTGCCTTCGGTCTTCTGGACATGGACATTGAGTGACCCTCCTATCGCACTGGTTAGCCCCCAAATCCGCTAGTATCAAGATAAAAGAGGCTCTACACGGCAAGTCCGACAAGTAAGAATCATGTTTACCGTATGTCAAGCACCTGTCGGTAATCTTTTGAGGTTCACATACTATATGGTCCGCAGTTGCCGCGAGTTCTCAAAATGTGCTGACATCCAAAAGAACTTTTGCAAGCATGACTGATCAAAACATCAACTATATAGACAACGTGTGAGGATGCTCCATCTTCAATCTACCAAATGACCACGAAAAGGAGTGCCCCCAAATAGCATCTGTTTGGTTGAGCCCTGCCCGAAAGACATCTGCTGTGTTTGGTTTTCACCCCTGGCATAACTCTGCACATGGACGAGGTCTGGTTGGAGGTGGGGGCTGCGCTTCTCGGGTCTCCTGCTTCTCGGCATTCGCGGCGATCTTCATGGCCTGATCGGCTCGCGCACGCAAAGCGGATCAGTGGAGGAAGGCCAATCAAGATGCTGATGAAGGTTGCAACTTCTGACTTGTCACTGTCAAAGGTCTAGCGAAGGCTGAAATGAGGACATGGTACAAAGCTACAGGAGTACCATTGTATGACTCAGCAAAAAATAGTACAGAATCTACTGAGACGTACCGGTTGGCAAACAAGTGGTCTTCCAACGGAGTTAACTATTTGCATCTTCCTGAACCCACCTGACCTGGGACGCAAATCACCTTCATTCCCTACAACTTGCCAACCACCAGTTTTGCTGTAGATCCGTGTTTTGAGCCAGGGGTCGTTTCACCGCTGGACGGTTAAAGCCTGGGGGGTCGTTCCGACATTCCTGGACCGGACCAAATTGGGTGGTTTGGATGGCATCCTTGACATTCCTGGACCTGTTCTAGTAAAAGGACAACTGGCCAACCTACAATCTTGGCGGCTGGAAACACGGAAGAGGTCTATGTCACCCAGGTCTGTGTCCACAGAATCGACTGTGACCAGGGATTCTGCCGAGGTTCGATCCGGTTGCCGGTTGAAACCCGGTGAAACCGGACGACGCGCGGACACGGCGCGGTCACACGGCTTTGGCTGAGGGACACTATCCACGAAACAGGCGGTGATGATATTCATCATGGCAAAGAGCTCGAATCCTGTGGAGATGACTGAGGGTCGCAGTGATGAGTTTCTGAGCAAAATCTAAAACACAAATATATATATATATATATTGATATCATATGAGCACCAACTTCAGTTCATGCACATGTTTGCTGCTTCTAGGCTCAGCCGGGCCATGTTCCATTCCTCCTGTCTATTTTTCAGATGATATTTGAAGTATCCAGAAGACGTGTGACAGTGTTGTCAAGAAAAAACCATATACCGATATAAAGACGAGTAAACAACGTATTCACAAGCAGAAAGCAGCTCCAAAAGTCATATATGACTTACGTCCCTTCTATAGAAAAATGTACGGAGGAGAGGGATAGCACCCGGAAAAAAATAGAAAACTACAGCCTGCTCATTCATCTAAGGTTTATGCAACATAGTCCAGTGTTTATTCAAACGTTCTGTACCTACAGCAATCTGTGCGTGCATGAAAAGTCCCGCAAAAACGGTGACAGCACAAACATCATACAAAGTACAATAAAATCAAACCTGTTGCAACTGGGAAGCAAGCAAGACCTTATTGATCCTTATCATATCTTATTAAACCTGTCTGTCTGAATGTCTAGTCTCGCGCCTGTGAAAGTCACGAAGACGATGCGAACCCAGCCGCCCATGTTCTCCACCAAGGGGTCCATCAATTCTCGCCTGGTCTTCACGGTGGCTGGATGTCTAGATGGTTGGTTGGAGAACAAACGAGATGGCTCGCTCACTCGCAAGTGTGAACCCGGGGTGGTCCATGCGACGGAGGTTCTCCAGGAGTCGGAGTGTTCTGCAAGGATTCTAGACGTGGGGACGGCTACAATCCTATAAGTTGCATGTTACACAGTTCCCACCTCAAATGTAGTGAGCTTCTTCGGGGATGGTTTATATTGTTTCAATCAGGAATATGGGAGAGAGTGTAGCTGCAAAATAGGTCCATGGTCACCACTTCTGCAAGCAGCTTCTCACGCAGCCCAGCAACTATGGTTTTGTTGCAGCAACTAATGTCAACAAGTTTCTTACGAATTGACATTGAATTAGAGTACAGCATCAGCATCATCACCTACCAAGGTCGCGACAACTCCAGTGATCACCACATACAAGCAAACACATGCAACTGAATGAACAAATAAGAATGCTTGTGGAAAAAGAGCTTCTATCTACTATTTGGGTGCTCTATATATACCCCCCAAAAAGGCCTGCAAGTCACCCACAGAAATCCACTCACAATCACTCACAGCCACGTTGTCAGATTCAACTGCAAGAGGAATCTCTGCACAATACCCGCTTGAAGCAAAGCCTTGACCTGCCACAAAACTCTGGCCAAGAGATCTGGTGTGTTCATTGGTGTCTTCGATAATCCTAAAACCTCCCACCCGCCATTCTGATCCACGCTGCCAGTGAATGCCCTCTGAAATCACCTCAGGTATGCAAGACTTCCATCAGGTCTGATAAAAAGGTTGGCTCCAGCCTGACTGGATGATAATCACCCAACTCGGAAATGAAAATGGCATTGGTTAAGTTGCCCTTCCTCACACAAGATCCCAGAAACCTCCAGTGACGGGTCCATTCTACAGTGGGCTGCTACCAGGTCACAGGTGCTTTAAAAAATAAAGGGGCACTCCTGGCAGTGCAGCTTTTTCCCTTTCTGCATTTGAGAGAAGAATGACACCGCCGAACATTCCTAGAGGATCCAGGAGGGCACTCTTGGGAAAACCTTTCCGAACACTAACCAAGAAAAGCAAACAAACATGTTTCAGAAGTATGTTTTTGTCGTGTTTGTGGAGGAGGGTTCAGTCAAGACTCTAGAAACTATATGTTGTTCTTTGGGGCCAACCCTTCCCAGTCCAAGATCTCGGAGAAATAGTGGTACTTTGCTTTTAGGACTGCCGCTTTTTGCTGAAAAAGTTAAGCAAAGAAAATAACTCTTGATGATTTCTCGAGTATTATTTGGCATCCCATCTGTTTTGTGTTTTAAATGTTCCCATACTAAACTGATTTGTGTCAGGCTCATTTAGCTGCTCCTTTGTTTAATCAGTGTTACCTTTCCTTGCCTAGAATCTACTAGCTCCAGAATTGGTTTGCATCTCTTGCATTTATTTCTATTTGGCACATTCATTTGTTGAATTGATTTGTCTTGTCTTCTCTATGTCCTTCAACAATGACATTGTTGTGTTTCTCAGGAGGCTTCTTTTGACACGTGCATAGGTATTCTGTGCTTGGCCCTTTCTATGACCAGATTCTGAAGCAAATGGTCAAAGGAAATGCAATTGAAGGAGCAAGACCAAACGCAAGCGGGTGATTGGCCATCATCATGTGTTGCTCTTTAATTTTAAGTTGCCGGTTTGCATAACCAGGGGCTCTTCCCTTCTGGCCAAGATTCCTCCAAACTCGTGATCCGTGCTCAAAGGACCGACCAAACGTTAGTCAAATGAAGATTAGGATCTTCCCTAACAGAGAGCGCCGTGCTCTTAGGATGCATAAATATATGATTTTATACGTCAAAGCCCTTATCAAGGATGAGCATGGTTACAATGATGATAGCATAGTAGACTTGAGAGGCGGGGAACGAAAGCGATGACAACGACGAATGTGAAAACACCTTAGGATGATGTTTGTGATGTCGTGTCCCTTAGAGAGGGGGGCCAATCAATATCACTTCAATTCGTTAAGGGGGGGGTCCTATTGATTATTGATTCACTTCACACAAAGTGGGGGGGAGCGTTTGTAGCTATTTTTCAATTGACCCCTTCGATTTTGACCCATCTAATAAACTGAAACTTCAACTGACCTCCTTCGGAGATCGCTTTCGTGATTAGGTTCTGGATAAGGTGGGATGCATTTCCATACGGTCGGATTTTATGATATGTAAATTGTGCAATGGAGAATAGCATTCCATGATAGAGGAGGATCTGTGTTAGAGTGCTTGTATGTAGGCATAGGTTCCACAAAGGATATATGCAGCATATATGCATATATATATATATGCATATATATAATATAGCAATATTCTTATGAATGAAGAAAAGGAAGGACCCTTCAAAAACACCAATGCTAAAAACTAGTTTCACGTTAGGCGGGGTTTGCCTTGTCTATGAAATTGATAAACTATGTCAAATGATCAGCCGCAGCATCAAAAGGCTAAACAGGCACACTGCCACCCCTGCCCACCCAACCTGTTCAACTCTGGCCTTGCAAAATGAGTTAGAAACACATAGACATGGGTCTAGCCTGTGCACAACCAATAAATAGAAACGACCCCCAACACATTCATCCAGGGGATCTATATATATATATGCACTTGCAATAGAACGTGGTCGGGTGTGCATTAGAATGGGCAGTCTCGGAAATCAAGCGAACACAAAGTATATATATAACAAATCACTGCAACACTTATTAAGACCCACCAGTCCCGATTTTGCACAAAGTACATACAAATTTTAAAAATTCAAACATATACAAACCCATGTGCTTTGGGCCGGAGGGCCTTTATACCCGAGTGATTGGCTGTGACCACTCAGTGGCTCGTGTCTTATCGTGCCTTCGACTCGTGGGAATCGTTGGCTCAAAACACATGGGGGATGGTCCCAAAAAAATCACCTGTGGATCCTGAAAGCACTGCGTCACGTTCTCACGCAACTGACAACTGAATGGGCCTGAAAGCCCCACCCAACTGTCACTTGCACGACTGCACGACTACTATATATCTCGAACATATCTCGAACAAAGGAATCTTGCACAGCATCTTTCCGTTTGGGGTTGAAACATCGTCGTCTTGATATTGGCCCTTCTGGAAGTCTAACCAGCCCTTGTACGTGTAGGCTGTTTAGAGTAAGTAAGAACAAGACGGGAATGACACACACTATCACTCTCTCTCTCTCTCTCTGCCTTTCTATCCTTTCTTTACCCATGACATTCCGATGGAAAACTGAGCCCTATGAGTCCCAGTCCTATGAGCTCCCCATCCCCCCCCCCCAAAAAAAAAGAAAGGACACGCCGAAAGGGGCATCCAGGATCGCCATCTCTCAAATTGATCAAAGCGTCCATGTAGAGAGAGATCATCGTCGTGTCCAATGATCCGAAGAACTCCAACAAAGGCCTGACATTGAGGAGCTAGAGGACGCTACGAACGTAGCTCCTGGCATTACTAGTAACAAGAAGCTACTGGTAACAAAGGGCATGACTACTAGGAGCAAATAGCTATATACTAGTAACAAGAGGACGCTACCAGCAACAAGATTGAAAGCTCCATATTGATCGCAGCTAAAGCCAGGTTTCACAAAGCCAGCTTTGTCCCAAAGCTACCCCCATTTCGAGTACCGTGGGCTGGAAACCACCCATCTAGGGGCTCAAACGGGAGATTCGTCACGATTCGCAGGGTGGGGGAAACTTTTCAAGGCTCTTCTGCTTAGCCGGGGGTAATCTCTGGCTTAGCCTGCTGGAAGGCCCTGACAAAGATTGGGTGAATCAGCACGGAACGACTGTATATGACAACACGTCATGGTGATCCCAGTGGAGATATCATGGATGGCTGCTTTCGGCACAAAGATGCATAACGCGATTAATGATTAATCTTGGAACTGACCACTGTTTGCTAAGAGAATATGGCAAATGTCGCAAAGAACATTTGGACGCGCGTTGGATCTATTTTTTGAGTTTGTTCATCATTGTCGGGTGGTTAAAACGTTCACCCAAGAATCTCTTTCCCAACTCCGCCAGGCACTGACACTGCTGGCGCTGCCAAGAGGCTCTTCATGTTCAGCTTCCATGCCTTCTCTTCCTTAAACACGGTTGGAATTTACAATGTTGACACCAACACCCCTGCTAATCTGTGGACAACATATTCTCACATTGGAACCTCTCAATGGACAAACCACCCTCAACAAAACTGTTGACACACCTGACCCATTGCAAATAGATGTGGAATGATGTGGATACAAATTGACATCACACTTTCCCTGGATTCCATGCTGCTGGCTCTCAGCAAAGCCTATCAGCCCAGCATATAGTCAGGCCAGTCTTCGACCAAAGATCTTGAGGGGCTAAGTGGCTAGCAGGGGTCGCTGACAATGCCCTACAAACGTCAAACGCTATGAATTCTCGAGAAGCAACCACGTGCCGCTTACCTTTTTTCTGATGTGTGAATGGGTACAAGTTTGGGGGCCAATTGCGGCTTTGTCACCGGAGTTCCGTCCCTGGCCCATGCTTTGCCTTCATGTTTCCAACACCAAGTCAACCCCTAAACAGCACTTTTTTGGGGGGCCGTTTTGGGAGGCATCTTGCAGGCCAAAATAGCGTTTGGGACGACAGCAGCCGTCTTTCATAGTATCTTCTATCCCTCCCTTGTGCATAATATCGCAAGTCAACTACTTTTGTACACGCGCAACCGTGACTGTCGTGGGGTGAATATATAATCCTTCCCAGCGCCCGTGCAAGGGAGACCAGCTCTGCACATCGAGTGTCCAATGGCTATCTTGTGGTCCGAGACCAACTGAGTGAGCACCTGACAGGTGACAGGTGACTGTGACTAGGACCTGCTCCATCACCAGGCAGCCGTTCTTCTATTCTGCGTCCACAAATGGCGGTGCTTTTTTCTGCTGTATTGGCCCCCCCGACTGGACCAAATTGAGGATCTTCACTTCTAAACGTGCCCAAGCTGTTTTGGATTGTTTCGGGGGTCCCTCATGTTGAGACATCCCAGATGATCGATCTGGCTGACTCATGCTGACTCCCCAGGGCACCCATGAGCACCATGCTGACTCCCCGCGTCACACACATGCCAAGCCATCGAGGTTTAACAAAGGCGTCAAGGCACTACCGCCACCGCGTAGAGGCAAGCGAAGATGAGAACCATCGTCCAAAAAAGGGATTGCAAAGAGTCCTGGGAAATTGCACGAGGAACGTGCCCAAAAAGTTAAAGTGGGCATCATAAATGCTACTAGTAACAAAGGGCATTACTACTAGTAGCTAGAAGCTACTAGTAGCAGGGGCATTGCTACTAGTAACAAGGGCATGTAGGAAAGAGGAACGCGCCCCAAAAACGTAAGGCATGCGGCCGGGCGGCGCGGAAAAAGGGCGACTCTTGAGACGTCTCGCGGGCCGTTGCCGCCATATTGGCCGTTGGGCGGGTCGACCGTTCAGCCAGTGGATGTGGTACCTAGAAAGTAATATTTGCCTGAGCTACGCAGTTGGGGTGATCTCCCACCCCACTGGTGTGCGGTGATGTACGCTTTGAAACTCATATATAGACTATCCTTGCATCCGGGAAGTCCAATGGTCTTCCAGAACGCTGTGGGCCAAAGGGAAGTGTAAACGCCTTGCTGGCACGAAAGGGAATTGGCCTGGCTTTGATATGTTCACATCTCTGGCCTTTGGTTAGTATATATGTGTGACGAGTTCCAAGATGCTCGAGTTTGGTTTAGAGCCTGCTTGGAGGAATGGTTTCCCATGTCAAAGGAGTAAATTAAACAACACATCCCCTGCGTACGATTTGATGTTGAGCTGCGGTACGGGGAGTGCATCCCTAAAGTTGATGATGTTTGGAAGACTACCAGACTATGTGGAACTCTTGGACCACCATCCTGGCTTCCGAATCCTGGGTTCCGCATTTTTGCGAAGTCTCCATGATTGAGCTGATGAGGATGTGAAGCTCTGGGAACACTGAGGCGATGCGCGCGATCCGCAAGATCCGTACCAGCTTCAGGACGCGAAGGCCTGAAGCGACCGTCCAACGGTGTGCAAATGGCTGAACAAAGTGATGTTCTTATGAGGTCTAATTATGCTATCAACACCCTTCTATACTAAGATTTTACTAGTAGACTGTGATGAACATAAATGGAGCTGTCAGCTGCGGATCAATCTAACCTAACATGGAAAACCTTCACTTCAAATAATGTAGTAAACAGTAAACATATGTAAACATTATGTAAACATCATAATACTCCCGTACTGCAAAGGCCCTCTCGGAATAAAAACAAATGCATGTTTGTTGAGTTTTGGGGACCACAAAATGTGGATCTTCGCATGAAAGAAACGCATATGTGAGATTTATCGGTCTTCAGCTCCTACCAGCCAGCCTTGCGAGGTTATGTACAAAGAAACATCTCGTGGACAGAATATGCGTACCATGTGATCATGTGTGGCTTTCTGACTGCTTGCCACCAAACAATCAATGAGCCCATCATGAACCCCATCACAGTACCTCCACTTCTGCGACGTCCGTAGGTCCGCCTTGAATGGTCCTGTGGCTGGTCTCCCCACTGATCGCCGAGCGTTCCAAAACGCCTCAGGGCCATGAATGGTGAGTGCAAAGAGAGCAAAACAACACGCCGTCCGACAGTGATGTGGATCGAAACATATTTAGCTGCCCAGTGGTCCTACCAGACTCCCAGCGGTACCGTTCTTTTTTTTTCCGTGTTGTTTCTTGGTGGGGGGAAAGCTATGGGAGGCCCCGGTTTCTTTGGATTGAACAGTTGCAGTGAGCAAATGAACCAAATGATCTCAAGGAGCATGATGTTTCCTGGCTTGAACTGACGATGAGTTTTGTTTACGACATTTTGCAACTGGGTGCATTCCTCCCGCTAACCCAGGAACATGAGGAGGCAAAATGCAGCTGCAGCGTTCATTTGATTGTTTGCAGGCTCCGGTGGAACATGATGTTCCTTTTTCGGAGGTAACACACAACTCCCAGCAAGCCTTCACACTGCTGACTGAGCATGCTGTGAGGTCACACCGACAGATTCTTGCAGGACAAACAGTCAAAAACATCAAGACTCAACCTACAATGTGGGAGGAAAAGGTCTTTGTTCCAGGCTTGAAGCACCTGCCCACAACTTCCGCATCAAGCCGAAGTTGTGGCTGCCCTTGACAAAGGTCTCCTAAACCAGGTGGCCAGATTTCGCAGAGCTTCGGCCATATGTGTTGTGAGCCTTGTGACTCAATTCGAGCAAGTCCTGCTGTACGATTCTCGCATTTTGCCGCTCCTGACGTCATTAAGGATGAAGGAATACGTATGTCTTTTTCATGTGTTTTTGTTATTTGTAGTGTCGTGGGATTTTGGTGCGTTCGCTCGCTTGGCGGAGCGAACAGGGAGGTCGACCAGAGGCGATTCAGGTCGCTCCACCGAGCGAACAAGGCTTTCTGCGACCCAAGAGGCTGCCTAACAAGTCTGCCACCTGTGTCGCCACCACGACGGTGTCAAAGAGATTCCACTTCCAGTGAGCCTGACGTGTCGTATGGGCAGGAAGTCCTCGTCACAAAAAGTAAATCTCACGGAAAAAAAAGGCAATACCCAGAACGAACAGGTCGCATGTGAGCCTTCTGAGAAGTGCCCTGCTTTCTGGCCAATTGGAGGCTATTTCAGGGGACCTCTTGGACCACGACCCGGTTGGTGGAGTGGAGCTGCGACCTCTCGGTCGCCGGCAGCCGAACCTGTTGGTGGCGAAGTAGATGATCTTTCCAGTTTTGAGGGTGTCAAGATACATGGCTAACGAACATTATAGACTTATATCAATGGGCACTCCCATATCCGGTTGGTGCATTCAACTCACTTGAAACATAGCGGGTTCAATCATCCCAAGTAAAGGTTGAACATAACAATGATTGAAACCACCACCCTAATATGGTAGTTGCCTGTCATGCAGAACACTTGAACAACATCAGGCACAGTACTGAATTTGATGATGGAATATAGCATTAGCCGTCGACATATGTTTTTGGATTGTCAACACATCCTAACTCGTCACATAGGAGCCGCGTGGCAAATCCCTTCACCCCATCCGGGTTGTGATTTTTCATTCAGCATCTTCCGCTTAGACGCCTCGTAGAAAAAGTACAGTCCCTGTGCGACCATGCGGATGAAGAGCTCCATCAGCGCCAAGACGCAGAAGATCCAATCCTAGACGCACACCGTGGTGGCAAAAAAACACATGGAACCTGAAAACCCTCGGGTTGTAGACAAAGGAAAACCGTCTTTCAAAAGTCCATGCCATCAGGTTCCATGTGGGTCTCTTCCCTGGTGTAACCACTCCGATGTTTCTCTGCTCCAAACGGTTTTGGGACGCCGGGAGGGTGAGGAGCTCTCGTTGGGCGTTTTTGCAAATAAGAGGAGATGAGTGATGCCCAATGATTAAAATAGTTGAGCTTCTTGGAGCCGTCAAAGGTCTCAACATGTCACAAGTTTTGGGAACATGAACCTCGGCCAAGAAAAACAAACACTAATTATCACTATGTCTCACGGGTATGTATGGCCAGCTGTAGGGGATCCAGGCCATTTCTGGATTTCCAAAGCGCAAAAAGGAATCTGCAAATTCCTCAAGCAAAAAGAACTCAAAGAGGACTGTCCGAGGCCTGGGTGACCCTCCCAAAAATGCGCTGCTGGGTTACAACACCTGTTGGAGTGCAGGGCTTTTTCACGGTGCTCAGCGACTGGAAAGGCAAGGCCGATGGAACCACCCGGCACCAAAAAAGACCGCTGGAGCCCGGGGGCAGGCCGATCAGCCAGGCCTATGCCTCGCAAGGAATGGACAAAAAGGCCATAGTTCCACAAAAGTAGGCCACAAAAGCCGTTTGAGGGCAAGCCGCTGCCGTTCACTTCCCTGAAATATCAGCGCACCAAAACGTAGGATGAGCTCAATGAATGATGAGCAAACAAAGGAAAAGGTGGTCATGATGCTTACCAATGGGAGAATGAAGCAGTCCGTTCAATTCTGCCGCCCAACACGCCCAAGGCACGCCATAGTGAAACCAGTCTGGCATGTGGCTGCTCCAATGGCGAGCCACCCAATCCTTGGCCGCACAAAAACCCCGCGGAAAGGCCAAGGTGGGGCATCCTAGTCCCACAAATTTTGATCGAGGTGAAGAACTCCAAATCCGAAAACCCTTAAATGGAATAGAAACGTGTTCCTCTTTGCACCGAAGGTGCTGTGCTCAGGCCAATCCACACCGCGTTGAAGACCACCAGCCAAGCGCTCAGAATCTCAGTGGCAGTTCCAAGTGTGCTGGTGTTGTTGTTGTTGTTTTGGTAGAGACAAAAACAGCTGCCCAACATATATAGTTGTCACATGTTGCAAGTCAGGGATTTCAAAGGGACACTGTTAGGGATAGGGTCGAAGGATTGGAGAGATGTTAGTAGCTGGACTTCTTGTCGTTGTGGTGCTCAAGTCTTGGTTGGTTTGTTTGTTTTTCTTAATGTTTTTTTGGTGTGTTGTTCTGGAGGGGGGGCTCACAAAGCAACAACGGGGCTGCAGATGTTGTTTCTAGGGGGGGTAGAGACAACAACATCTTTTGAGATCTTTTGAGGCGGGGGGGGCAAAAAACAACAACGGGGCTGCAGTTTTTGTCTCTATAGGATGTGATAGAGGTTTTAAGTAGAAGTTTTATAGAGGCTTAGCTGACCGGACTACTACTACTACTACTACTACTACGACCACTACAACAAAGACTACTGCTAGTACTAGTACCACTAGTACTAGCACTAGTACAAGCACTACCACTTCTGGTAAAAGTACATGTTGGCTGGTTGTTTTCGGGGGGGGTCAAAATATCAACGACGGGGGTTGCAGATTTTGTTTCCACCCCCTTGTAGAGACAAAGGAACAAGATATCTTGTAACGAGGCTGCAGTTTTTGTTTGTACCTTGTTCTTGTTCTTGTTGTTGTTGTTTGGCTGTTAGGGAGGGCAAGGAAGGAGGAAAGAGCATGGCGATGGAAAATTCGCATGAATTTGGGTCCACTGCCTCAGATCAAGAAAACGAACCACCAGGGACCAGGGATGTCAAACTACCACGGTGTTGTTTTTGTGTGATGTTTTTGCGGTCGCTGACCTGTGATCCAGCCCCACATTAAAAAATATACAGCCTGCAAATCCAGGGATGGTGGATTTCAACAATATCATTGCACAGTGCTTCCTGCACCCTTCCTTCCGCACCTTCAACAGGAGCCTTATTCTGATTTTGTTCATCCACCATAAGCCAAACCAGTGGCTTCTGCTCCCACTGGATGTCATATGGATGAATGAAAAATGCAGTAACACCCCAAAACCCAAGAGTGGCTACAACTGACCGGGACACCACTTGCGTTAAAACCTTGTGAAGCCTGAAGGATTGGTAAGTTGGTGAAACGAGCCACGTCGTGATACAAATTCATCCAAATCAGTGGCCATGTGGAAACATACCCCCAAATATGGAACCACATAGACATAGAATATGTTCAATCAAGACGCACAATTACTACCAATACTGCTATCATTTGCTCTTGCCAAACGGGTCAGAACCATCTCCAATACCAATACCATTTAGACCTGCCAGCAGTCATCGCACCCCAACACACACGGAACGAACACCACTAGTTCGTCTAGAATGATCAATCATCGTTGGAATGCGCCCGAACAAAGGGTCTTTGGCTCTGAGTAGCGGGCCGTAATCCACAATAACCCACCACCCGCGAACATTCTGAACATGTTTTTTCGACTGCAAGTATACGGTTCAAAACAACAAGTAAGTGGCTTTCCATCGCCTAGCCCATGCACCCACACACTCACATGGAACCGCCAAAATATGAAATATAGGCTTGTAGTTGTATAAAAAAACTGCGTCGTTGTTCAGGGTGCATGAGAACTGTTGGGAAAGTGTTGAAACTGTAGATAGTACATGGCCTTTAAATTTATTCCAGAATCCGAACTCAAACTCTTGTCATGCATTTCCCCCACAAAAACTCTTGCCACCACCCGGTGCGGACGAGACTGCGTCAAAGTAGTGGCTGTTCAAGATGGACGTGCAGCACGAGACCAGCAAGGAACTCGGCAGCAGTTTTGTCTTCACCATGCCCAGTGGATCAAACTTTGCATGACACCCGACGCCCTAATCAAGCAAGCACAATTTAGTTACAAAGCTCCTGCATGAGGTGGAAAATTACCTGCTGGGATGGTGGTCGTCCAACTCATGTAAAGAAAGCCCCCGCTCACGTTTCGCGGCACCAGGGGCAGAACGCAAGACAGAAGCACTGCTGAACCAGCCAGCATCAGCAGCTTCGACATCTTTAGCAGTTCTAGTGCGATCACATTCGTGCAAGATTGCAGCAGCGCAGTTCTGATGAAGTCTGAACACTTCATTATGTCATGGTTGGCAGCAATCTGGCTGGTGGTGTCCTCAGGTCCTCTTCCGAAAATAGTTCAACGAGGGAATTTGATGGAATTTGTATTCATTCGCCGAGTTGTGGGTGTGCAGTCAATTACAGTCAGCTTGATGGAACACAGGCAGGGAACCCTCGTCCCAAGAGGTTGCCCCCACTTTTTTACAAAGTTGGTGTCGACACACGGGAATTGGCGGAGCCCCAGCAAATTTTAGACAACAATGTGCAAAATAGCTCATTTGGATAGAAGTCCTTCCCAAGGTCACATCAAAATCTCGAGGCGCCTTCCAACATCATATGGACAGATCTCCATGACCCAACCCCACTCAAATTAAAACGACTTATTAAAAACCAAAAACATCCAACGAAACCAGCGGGCTTTGAAGCCATCCTGATTTGAAGCCATCTGGTGGCACAGGTGACTTGAGAAAGGAGGGGGTGAACGAAAGGTAGCAAGCAATCAGTGGTAGAAGTCCATGACTGCGTCAAAGGTGGATGGATGTGACCCAAGCAGCGATGGCGCAGGGGGGGGAATGATCCAGGGAGGGCCCCCCCCTGTCGAGCAGAATCCCTTCTTACAGGACCGAACTCAATGCATATTCATATTCCCAACTTCAGATTGTAATACATGTTTGCTAAAGCAAGGAGAACTCAGGTAGCTCGAGCTACCTTTCGTGATTTGACTGCTACGACACGTCTGCTACAAACGCAAGCTACGACGCCGTGAAGCTACTGTTCCACTGGATTCTCTATCCAAGTGCAGATTCAATGGCAGGAGAGACCCCAGCAATCAGGGCACCACCTCGCAAGCCCAAGAAACCCTGATCATAATAGATTGGTAGATGTTCACGACATCTCTGGTATGTCACGTTCATCCTTAAGAACCGCGAATCTTTCGAGCCATCGCTGACTCAGAAGGCCGGGGGTCGCGGGGCAGGGAAATTGTGGGGTTGAACCAAATCTGTACGGATGATAGTTATTTGTTGTGCAGCCTACAGTGGCAGGAGACCAGCAGCTCTTTTGAGATATGGGTCTGTTGGGGTGCCCAGGGTCTTATTCTGGTTCTCAAAAGGTTCGGGAGATCCTTAGATGTGCTCTCTTTTTGCAGGTTACAGGCTCCCTTGATATATATATATATGTTTACATATATTGTATATATAATATATTGTATGTATATATATATATATACATGGAAGCTTCTCTCTCCAGGGCTCTCCAGGCTGCCAGCCAGATTAAGACTGACCAGGGACCAGCTTGTACCTGCTGGGATCATGTTCCGAGCATCCTAGGGCACATTCGAGGGGCTAGGTGCCCACTAGCATTGTGCAATATCTCGGCACTTTGAAAGGCAGCGTGTTGGGTAGATGCGGTCCAACCTAACAGTAGCTTTGGATATCTTTGGACATGATATTGCAACATAATTTAGACATGTGTATGTGACGGTGTGTGCGTCCCAGTAGTGAGCCGCATCCGGATGCACCATGCGCCTGGTCTCACGTGATGGGCATCAGAATTCCCCTGTCTCAATGTGCCCACTATGGTGGGCACCCCTCGTCATGAAAACTGCTCAAACAGCTCAGCAGGTGCTGATCGCTGAACACTTGTGTGAGTGACACTGCCGAAACAAACACCAACAGCCTTCCAGATTCCAAAGGGCTCTGCTCATTCGGCCCAAGCGAGGTCAACCGGAGCAACCAAAACCCTGGAACATACAACAATTTCCAAAATACAACCCTTTTCACACAAGACGCCATAGACCCAGTAATTAATTGACAACTCTGTTTCTCACGTTCCAAGCCCGTACTTCTCCTGTCCCAAACCGGCTGCCAAACCCATAATTTACCTGCCAAAAGCATGCATGTATTGTATGCATGGTTTTTGAGAAACCTGGTGTTGGTTGCAACATCCCATTTTTCTTTTTCAGGACCCAACAATTGTTCGAAATGTCCAATTAGTGAACCACACTTCTCAAAGTAATGGCGTTCCTTCGCCCTCTTCCCTCACCCAGCTCGCTCACTCGCTCCCTCGCCAAGCGCTTCCCGTCGCGCCGTGCAAACCACGTGGCCAGTGGCTCGGGTTCGCCTGGTTCTCTAGGTCCGAGGTATCGATGGGCATGTAGCGGCCACTGGCCTCGGGCATGGAGCGACGCGCGCTCCTGCCGCGTCCCTTGTGGGCAAAGAACGCACGAGCTACGCGGGGTCATTTTGGAGGGGTTGGAGAGAATGAAAGAAAAACCATCGTTTTAGCATCGGAGGCGGCAGGTGGTCTTTCGAAAATATCACCCGAACAGATCCAAACAGGGAAATGCTGTGTGGCGCTACTGTCTTGTATGGGTTGCCACCTTGATTGAAAAGCCTCTGAAACACATGTTGCCAACCATAGGAATCGACCATGCGGCAAATCTTCAACTTCGATCACATCCTGATCAACTGTCCCAACGACTTATGTTTATTTATTGATTTTACTCAAAATATTTACAGATTTTACTGTATATATAAAATTTTATCGTCGGTGGGAAATACATATGTACATCCTGCGGTATTCAGCTCCATGGATATCGCATCCATCATCCATCATATGAATCAAACAGCTAAATCAGCTGAATCAGCTTGGCCATGCTGGGCCCCTGTGCTTCCCTTTGGTGGGGCCACCCTGTCACCATCCCAAGCCCCTTTGCTGTCAGGTTGGCTCGTTTGTTTCCCTTCTTCTTAGTGCCTCAGTCCGGTCGACCCGGACGTCCCACCGAACAAACACCGACGTGTCGCGGCGTTCATCCGGACTTGGCCGGGCCAGTCATGAGCATAGTAGTTGGACTTCAGGGGCATAGTTGAACTCATCAGGGCCATCTTCCACGTCACAAAAAGATCGACTGACGAGCTACACATCTTCATAGACTGCATGGACCTTTACGGGAACATGTCCAGGGAGTGCAAACACAAATCCACCCAAAATTATGAGTGCCCAGTGCCCAGGTTCACATGGATGTGACACACCCAAAGAGTCAAGTAGAAATTGAACTTTTGAGCTCCGGGTTCGTGTGATCTTGGAGTATGGACATTCCAGCTCAGGCGACTTCGAAACCCCTGCGTCGGTGAATCGGTTCACCTGACCTCGGCAACAATGGTCGCAGAGATCTTCTTTCGACCGCCGCGCATCTAGAACTATCTTGCTCTCGCTCATGTTTGGTCATGTTAATCGAGGTTTTCTTCCACCCTGCAAGTGCTCAAATAAAATAATGATGTCAGTTGGAAAGTGGCACTTTTCTTAGGACCTTACGAGGGCAAGGAGATGGTGTAATTCCACCTTCTTCACGAAATCCATGTCATCCCAACTTAGGGGCATGGGAAGGGTTACTCCACCTTCCCACCTTCGCGCGCTGGTCGCTGGCTCGCGTTTGGCGCCAAGTGGCGCATGTAAGTGGCCTGGCACGGAGGACCAGCGGAGTTGCAACAGATGTGTGATCTTGAAATGGCTCCCGGCATCTCCCGGCCCATGGTTGGGTTAGGGATGTGATGGGCTGCCTGTGTTCAAACCTACGACTTCGCAAGACCTGCGTCCTTTCACAGGACGGTTCACGGCCGAGACACAGCGGGATGAACAATGGTTAGTATCAGGACCTGGCTCGAAACACACAGGTGTGGTTTCAAGGACCTGTTCGCCCCCCGAAACCCCGTGAGGTCTGGTTTTGATCGCTTAAGGGTGTGTCCACCGGCCGGTCCCAGCTGCTCGGACTTGGTCTTCAAAGTCTCAGAGCGAGAAAATGGGACAAACTTCCAAGAGAGGTTGAGAGACCTGAATCGTTCGGACCCAGTAGTGGTACCTATGGGATGGGCGAAACAGGGCTGTTCAACCAACTGACCAGCTTCTCTTGAATTCGTTTCCGAATTTGGTGCCCACGCATGTCGTTTCCCACGTTTCCCGTCGCTCACGGCGTCGCCGAATTCCCGCCCAAACCAGGCGGGGGGTGCCGTGAGGTCACGCTCCAAAGCCTTCTTCGCCTCGCTGGAGGCGTCGCCCAGCAAGGTCTCCTTGGACCCAAAAGGGTTGAGTAGGTTCGATTGGTTTCAATGGGTTGGTGGCTCGGTGGCTTCTGGCTTGTGGGTTTGAGTAGGTTTCTCCCAGCAAGCTTCGTTGAGTTTGGTTTGAGTGGGTTGGCTCCATGAATCGCTCAGGGCCAAACTCTTGGGGTGGCCAACGGCCGCCGCAAGAGTGGACGGGAATGGGGGGATCATGTCACTTCGCGGGTGAATTCATGTCACTTGTGGTGGATCTTCCCCACTTCCGATCAAAGAAGCACCTCTGCTTGGGTTCAAAGAGCTGCCCCAACTGCGCAAAGAAACTTCGCACACACTTGAACATCTGCTGAGGACACGAATCTCACAGCCAGGAGATCTGGACTTCTCTTGCTTATTTCCGACCTGTGGTCTAAGTTTGCAAAGGTTGACGCCTCCCTCTCACAAGTCACTCCACTCGAAAGGATGGACTGGAAGGGAATCATGAACATTTGTGTATGTTTATATATATAAATATATGCGTGTGGATGTATGGAGAGAGAGACAGTGTGTTTGTGTGTGTATGTATGTATGTATGTATGTATGTATGTATGTATGTATGTATGT